TCAGCAGGACCCAGGAATTGAGCGATGAATAGAACGACAATGGTTCTGTTGCCGTCCCTTCCTCTGGATACTTCAGGCATCGCGCGTAAGAACAGCTCTTCGGGCAACTTACTCGCGACCAGTTGCCACTTGTACAGAACATCAGTTGCTCCTTGTTCCAATGTTTTGTTAACCCTAAACACGGTCACCGTCTCTGGAACAGTGACGAGTTTGATCTTCCATGCAAGAATTACCCCGAAGCTGGCCCCACCGCTTCCGCGGATTGCCCAGAAGAGATCTTCGCCCATATTAGTTCTGTTCAAGACCCTTCCGTTCACGTCAACCAGCAAAGCGTCTACGACGTGATCCACCGATATTCCATACTTTCTGATCAAGTTTCCGTAGCCACCCCCGCTGATGTGTCCTCCGGCTCCTAAAGTAGGGCAAACCCCCGCCGGAAACGCTCGCAATTTGCTGGCGTCAGCGATTTTGGTATAGAGTTCTCCCATGGTGGCCCCTGCTTGTACCCAAGCTGTCTCGCTGTACAGGTCAACATCGATGTAACGGAGATTGAACATGTCGAGGATCACGAACGGGACAGACGAGGTGTACGAGAGGCCCTCGTAGTCGTGGCCTCCGCTTCGTACACGGATCTGTAGACCGTGATGCTTTGCGCACACCACTGTCGCCGGGACATGAGATACATGCTGTGCAGTGACGATGGCCACAGGTTTAGTGAATCTAGGGTTTAAAAACCTCTTGTTTTTCGTGTACGACACGAAAACAGAATCGAAGGAGGAGTTTTTGGGAGTATAGACGGCTCCAGAGATTGGAGAAGAAGGGCTTGCTTGGCGAGGAAGGCATCCAAGAAAACCCTCGACATCATGCTTCACAGCTGATGCATCTGAAGCTAAAACAAGAAGACACACGACGAAACCAGGGATGAAGCCTTTCATTGTGTCGAACGCCATGAATCGTTTCTATTGATTTTGGTGAGTCTCCGAGCTTATAACTATCTCTATATATATAGAGAGAGATGGAGATGGTGAGAGAAATTAGAGTCAACAGATACGTCATTCTATCTCGGGGGATTGTCCATTGCGAGACAACGACGATTACGTAAAATTCGGATACTCCATAATTAATGGCCAAAAATGGAACACGTAAATTAATGTCTGAACGTAAGCAACTGTGACGGTTTGGTCTAAAGAGAAACTCATCTGTCCTTTATGGAGACTCAGTTATGCCTAGATTTTTGGTCAATGCTTTGATTGTCAAATTCAACGCTTATGAATTACTATATTTTGTCTCTATTAATGATTATTGAGTTATGGAACCATTTATTTCTTTACGGCTTTCCATATTTTTTTATTAGGAACGAAGTAAATTAGCATCGTCGATTTTTTTTTTAATTTATTAGATAGAGAAGTGTATAATTAAATTAAAGAGTTTTTTCGTGCTGTTTTTGATGGAGTACGTATCCAGACATGTTGGGTATTTTACGAAATGGACATATCCATATTGTTCAACATAAGAAGCTCTTGCATTATAACGGTCCACGTTTGGTTACACTTTGCAAGAAATAAAATAAATAAAGGGAATCAAGCAAAAGATCAACAAGAATGCACGAAACATGAAAGGATATATATATATATATATCACTTGTTTAATCGATTCATATGTTGGTTATTCGTAGTTCTAAAAGTGAATAAACACGTGGTTTTGAACGGAGATGAGTTTTGTTTTGGGTTTTTAGTTTTAATTTTTGGATTTTGGTTTTTAGTTTTTGGTTTATGATTTTTGGCTATTGGATTCTATAATATTTGAAAACTAAAAAATGGTAGCTTTTGATTTTTCTTTGATTTTTCCACTAAAATGGTTTTCCAACTTTTTAGGAAAAGTAATTTTGTGAAAATTTAAATGATAATTTTTTTGGTTTTTCGATTCTAAAAATTCTAAAAACTCCAACGAAGGCCTAAATATTGTTTGCAATGTATAGCTAAATTTAAAGATTTTGCAGCATTTATTTAATTATATAAATAAAAAAATCTGCAATAAATAAAAAAGCCATAATTTGCTTCGATTGTTATCCCAGTTTGGCCTCATAATAAAAGTGTAAAAGATTTTGACTTTCTAAAAGAAATATACCAAAGAACATTAAACCAATATAGATAACATACACATCAAATCGGCGATACATGTATAAGCCAAGTTTCTATAGATTGTAAAAGATCTTAAAAGACATAGGATAACACAACATCTGTAAATGTGTAACACAATAACAGTCTATAAAAATACATAATTAATACAAATGAATTTCACCCATTTTATTTAATTTTTCGGACTGATGTATGTATATAAAGATTATCAATTTGGGGTGAAAGCAGGAGGAATGCTTTGTTCGTTCTTGAAGAAGTTGGAAGGATCATACTTCGCTTTCACTGCCATCAATCTTTTCAGATTTTCCAGGAAATACTTCGTTCCATAGACCAAAGCCTCTTCCACATTTGTCTGATTACTCGGATTGCTTCCGACATCGATGTCCCTATAGTTCAGGAACGCCTCTCTAGGGTTACTTGACACGTACGGTTCCGCAACCTCGTACAGCTCTTTCATCAGATCCAGACTCGTGTCTGTCGAGTTGTCGTCTGTCCACGTGGTAAAGTACTGAATCTTGAACAAGTTCCCTTTGCGGTGAGGGAACGGTGTGGAAGTTTCCGAGATACGGTCCATTACCCCACCGTACGGATTCCACTGCATCCACACATTGTTAAACTTCAACATGCTCTTCCACATCTTCTCCATGCCCTCCTTTGGGATCGGTCTCTTGACGTAATCTGACTTGCTCTTGAATGAATTTTCAGGGCGTGTTGGCCTTTCCAGAAGGACATCCGTCGGCGTTCCGGCAGGGAACTCGTCCCAGAACAGCGTAGACTGAAGCCAACTCATTTCGACACAATCTTCGACCCTTACTCCCAATTCCGGAAGTTTCTTGTTCATTATGGCTACGAGCTTATCAGAAGGACCCAAGAATTGAGCGATGAAGCGGACGATGATGGTTCTGTTTCCGTCGCTTTTTCTTGATACTTCAGGCATCGCCCGTATGAAGAGCTCTTCGGGCAACTTACTGGCGACGAGTTGCCACTTGTACAGAACATTTGCTGCTCCTTGTTCCAACGTTTTGTTAACCCTAAACACTGTCACTGTCTCAGGAACAGTGACGAGCTTGATCTTGAATGCAAGAATGACCCCGAAGCTGGCCCCACCGCTTCCGCGGATTGCCCAGAAGAGATCTTCGCCCATCTTAGCTCTGTTCAAGACCCTTCCTCTCACATCAACTAGCAAAGCATCCACGACGTGATCCACTGTAATTCCGTACTTCCTGATCAAGTTTCCGTACCCAGCGCCACTGACGTGTCCTCCGACTCCTACTGTAGGGCAAACTCCCGCCGGAAACGCCAGCGTTTTGCTGGCGTTAGCGATTTTGGAATAGAGTTCTCCCAAGGTGGACCCCGCTTGAACCCAGGCTGTCTTGTTGGGCACGTCAAGATCGATAGAACGGAGATTGAACATGTCGAGGATGACAAATGGGACGGACGAGATGTAAGAAAGACCCTCGTAGTCATGGCCTCCGCTTCGTATACGGATCTGAAGACCGTTATTCTTTGCGCACACCACTGTCGCCTGAACATGAGATTCATGTTTGGCGGCGATGATGGCTAAGGGTTTAGTGAACCTAGGGTTTAAGAACCTCTGATTTTTCGTGTACGACACGAAAACAGAATCAAATGATGGGTTTTCTGGAGTGTAGATCGCTCCAGAGATCGGAGAAGAAGGGTTTGCTTGGCGAGGAAGGCATCTAAGAAAACTCTCAACATCAGGATTCACAGCTGATGCATGTGAAACCGAAACAAGAAGAGAAACAATAAAAACAGAGATGAAACCTTTCATCGTGTCGAACGTTATGAATCTTTTTTTTTTTTTTAAAGTTTGTGAGTTTTGTAATTATATATAGACGTATATATATATAGAAGGAGATGGTGGGAGAAATTCAAGTGAAAACAGATGACATTTCCATCTTTGGGGATCGTCCTTTTTGTCTGTGACGACTTTTGTAAAAAAATCGGAAACTTCATTATTAATGACGAAAAGTGGAACACGTAAATGCATGTCGGAACGTAAGCAGGTGCGCGAGGGGTTTGGTACATGAAGATAACCCATATTTCCTTTATGGAAAATCAGTTATCTCTGATTTTTTTTTCTTTGATTAGTTTGTTTCTTCTAGATTTTCTATTTTTTTTTTTGTCAATGCTTTGATTATCACATCTCATTGGTTGTTGAATTCAACGCTTGTGAATTTATATATTTCTCTCTCAACGGTTTCACATATATATTGAGTTACGGGACCATTTATTTCTAAGATATTCCCTACGACTTATCAATTTCCAAATTCCACGTAGTTTTTGGATGAAGTACGTATCCAAACATGTTGGATTTTATACATATATATATATATATATATATCATTGGAGGCTCTTGCATTGTAAGTTGTAACGGTCCACGTTTTGTTAGTCTTTGTATGAAATAAACAAATAAATAAAAAGGAACTTCAGAGAAATGATCAACAAGAATGCACGAGGATTGAAAGGGTTTGTTGCAATTTTACAGGAATATATACGTATACATATATATATATATATATATATATATATATATCTCACCTGTTGAAGCGAATAACTACAAGCTAAATGATTGAAAATATTTTTTTCAATATATGTCGAAAACTAAATATTTGTTGCAGTATTTATGTATATAGTTATATAAAAACAAATAGAAATGGAATTAAATTTGTACCCATTTCGTTTTTCTCTCTCCGTATTATACTTGACCAAATCCTTTTAATTTTAAAAATATAAATAATTCATATTTTTTTTAATTATTTCACATGTTCTCCGCGATCATATGAACAAATGGGCGGGAAAACCAATCTCCCACTACGTTGTTAACTGAAGAGGAAATGTAACTGTCACTGCCCAAAACATCGAAGGAAACCACCTCTTGCATCTCACCATAACCACCTAAACAAAAAAGCTTCAGAATCACCACGAAGAACACGCACCATCTCTCCAATGGCGTCTTCTCTCTTCTTCTTCATCATCACAACACTAACAATAACACCATTTGTTCCTATCTCTCTATCCTCTTCCGTGGTGGAAGACCTCGCCAATCTCCAGCCTCCGCCCGATTTCAACGCCACGATCTCTGCAAATTGCCAACACAACCCTTTGCTTCGGTACTGTAACGCCTCTTCTCAGTTCGACATCCTCGAGGTTTTCCGTTCGACCATCGTCGCAAGCCATCTCTGCAACGAGTCCAAAAACCCTAATTGTGTCGAGTCTTTCCCCATGATCAGACTCCATAGCCGTCCCAAGACCGCCAAGCTTTACCTTTCCTTCACTTTCTTCTGGAAGTACTGTCCTCTCAGTGTCGTGTCCATCCAGATCTCGAACAATTCTCTCACGGGTGGCTTCCCGACCGATGTTCTGTCTTGTTCTCAGATTCAGTCGCTTGATCTAAGTTACAACGATCTCTCTGGCGATGCTCCGCTTCAGGCTCTGTCTGCATTGCACAACTTGACACATCTGAACTTGTCTTATAACCGTTTCTCGGAGAACAAGATGTCGGATTCGCAGTTCTTCAAACGCTTCAACGCCTCGAGTTTTATCCGCTCGGGAATTCTCCCGAACGCTCGGCGTTACAAGATCAAGTTTTTCGTCCTGTTGATCGGGTTACCACTTCTAGTCATTTTGATCTCCTGTTGCTTCGGATGGTTATGCTTCAACAGGCCTGATTACTTACCGAAAATGCTATGGTGAAACCACAAGTTTACTCCCGCGATGCTGGAGGCAGCGACAGAGGAATTCTCGGAAGAAAACCTCGTGATAAAGGGCAGAGGATTCGATATATATCGTGGAACGTTACGGGATGGGACAGACACCCGGATCGAGGTTTACAGAGACGATATTTCGAGAGAGAAAAGTAGAGAATTCGCAGAGGAATGCAAGGTGATTGTGAACTTGAGGCACAAGAATATGGTAAGGGTGTTGGGTTGGTGCAACAGCAGAAACATGAGGGCTTTGGTCACAGAATGGATCGATGGCCAAACCGTCGAGACATGGTTGAGTTCCTTGTCCGCAGTGCCATGGGGAAGAAGGGTCGAAGTTGTAATGGGAGTTGTAGAAGGGATGTATTACCTCCATGACCAGTGGCCTGAGGTTATATATGATCTTACCACAAGCAGTGTACTGTTATCTGATGAGCAAGAGCCTCTGATTTCTCAATTCAAGGTCGGAGATGGAAGCAACTCAACTAGTAAGGCTTCGCATCTGCAACATCTAAGCAAAAACCCAACCATAAAATCTGTCGATTCAAAGAGATTTTGCACAAATCGGTCTAACTGTACCAACTTATTATCTACTTGAATGTTGCTATTACAGATATCTACAGGTTCGGGCTGTTTCTTCTGGAGATGGTCACAAACCTAAGACCAGACACAGAACAAGAAGGTGCAGAGACAAGGTATGTGGAGTACATAAGAGTTCATTACCCGGGGAATCTAGAGAGAGTGATGGACGAGAGGATGAAGCTGGACAAGAGGGCTTTTGAACAAGCCAAGCAAGCCATAACTCTTGGACTTATGTGCACTGATAAGCCACCTGCAAAGCAACCGAGTTTGACACAGATCTATACCATGGTAGCTTCTCTGCATGAGTCTTGTTCAAGACATCATGGCAACAAAGTGACATAGATAATGAAAAATCAAAACTATTTCTCTTCAGCATTTTCAGTCAGTGAGTTGTGTTTTAGGGGTTATTATTTTACGTCAACAGAGAGTTGTATGTATTGCCTATAGACTATAAGCTCTGAATTTGTTTAAAATCTGAGTATGATGATGAATGCTATATTTACCCTCTACTTTGTTGTATTACGAAGAGAAACCCGAAATCTTTTGGCAAACTGGTTGTAAAATGACTAATAAGCCATCATAACATCATATGATAAGTGGTAAAACCGGATGATGAACAAAAGGTACGACTTTTACTGGCAGACAAAAGAAGTAATAACCCGATGATTTAGATCAGAAAATGAATGAAAGGATATAGAGAATTCACACCTCTTGCCACGTCCTTCTATAATGAGCATTAACGAGCCATCATTTGATGATTTGGGGTCTGTTCCCACGAGTTTTTGATTTGGTTTTGGAGACCTTCTTTGGTGTATCAACAGTTAAAGCATACATTTTCACAGCAAATAATTCTTCAGGAAGGCCATTCTGATCCTGCCACAGCAGAACGAAGCAGGGAAACTATTAGAGGGGTAAACTAAAAAGTGCCGTATATATAAGGTCTTAACGTGGTAATGCAAATACTCTAACCTTTGTTCTGTAAAGATGCAAACCACATCGACGGAAGAGCTCTTTGAAGTAAATGTCCGACCTGGTGATGCTACGATCATCTTTATCCAAAACAAATCCTGTGAATTCAGTTTCGGTAAGAAAGATTTCCAAACATGTCATAAAGAATGTCAAACATGACCTCACAATATCAATTCCAGGAAGAGAGAGAGAGGCTACGGACCACTTCTAGCGACATTCTCTTTCAAGACAAAAAACCCACCAGGTTTAAGGGAAGCCTGAAATCGCCAAGAATGCCTCATGAAATGATGCACAAAAAACTTCTTACACAGTTACTATACTCGTCAATTTGAGTTTCAATTTCTAAACGTCACATTTCTTTTCCATCTACATAAAAAAATGTTTCCATTTGTTATACAAAATATGTTAGTCATGTCCCCCCACTGCATATTTATGCACCGCAGGTTAGAGCTATCTTTGTCACGAAGCCATGGGGCAACCTGAAAAGAGACGAAACACTATATTTACCTTAGCTCGGTTGAAAAAAGAAACAAAGTCATCGTCAGTGAGGTGCCCAATGCACCATTGAACCCAAATTACATCATATCTACCAGCAGCTGGAGTGAATTCCTATGCCAATCCACAAAGTATAGTGAGAAGAGAACACGAATATACAATGGGAATGAGGGATTCAGCATCAGGAGACAAAGACGGGGGATTTAGAGATACCTGAAGAGGGACACAGAAGAAGTTAGTGGCCTTGTGTGTTTCAGAGGCTGTACATACCAAATTTTCACGAGCAGCATCCAGGAAATGTGATACAGGTTCAAGCAGATCAACCTAGATCGGATACAGCATTAACAAATGAGAATCAGATACAGAAATAAAAAATTGAAGGGAATTGAATGGCAAGAAGCTAAAAGCCTATTGAAGATAACTCCTTCTGGGACCATTCCAATGGAGGTAAGTTTTTCTCCATTTGAACCGCCTCTTTGATGAAAGAACAAAGAAACTCAAACTCCTAACCAAATAACTAAGCTCAGTCCGACTAGACTGTAACCTTAAGCCTTACACATGCACAGGGTGCTGACTTTTAAACTGAAAAGAAAATTTAGATATGGGGTGTACGAATTCTACAAGCATCTCTCCAAAAACCTTCAATCCTTTCAGGAAATAAGTATAGAGCTTAACAATGTCTAATAAACCATTGGGTGAAAAGGAGAGAAGGAGGCATTGTAGAGGACAAGTGTTCACCTCGTTGAAGTATCTTATTAGTAAATTCTTCGTGATCCTCCCAATGCCAGATCCACAATCTGCAAATAATTATATTATCGCAAGAAGCACCAGTCATTTGATATACATCCAAAATCTTCGAGAAAATGCAAGCGAGTGAGCTCTGGAGCACAATCATTTTCATAAATGGTGGAGTTCTCCAAACAAGCATGGCCAAAAGGGTAAGAGTGTCAAGCAAGTGACACAACAAGAATCACCACTAACTGCAATTCAAACAAGTATTGAAGAAAGTACCGAGAGCGACCAGATACCGATTCATCCCGCCATCTGCTAGTCTTTCTCGTAAGAGGGTCTTCAGAAAAACTTCGCTTCCAACAATGTCAGCATCATTCACATGACCATACCCACCCAATACTCCATCAACCGATGCCTCAACGCCCTTGAAGAACAAGAACAACGCGAAAGTATTCACACCCATTAACCTCAGTTCAAACTAATTAGAGCAAAGTAGCCATCTTTAATCGAACCATGTTAGGATTAAACCGTTCATCGCAAAAGAAGCCACAAAACCCTGAATTGTAACGTTACCTAAGGAAGCTAAGAATGCAATGAAAAAGAGAGCTCTAAACGAAAACCGAATAGCTAATGTCATCAACTTTGCCCCCGAGAAACAAACAGAAAATCAAACGAATTCCGACCCAATACTCACTTCCCAGTAAGAAACACCATCTCGGTACCACTGGGTCTTCATGGTCACATCCCCTTCTTCACCGATTTCTTCCCTCCACATCTCTTGAGCGCTAGTGAACTCCTTTCCCATAGAATCCACACCAGCGACCTCCATGGAGTAGTTCGATGAACGAGCTCGGGATCTCCTCTCCGTCGTGAATCGAGACTGAGACGGCGGCGGAAACGGAAAGTGCCTGTGGTAGCGAAGAGTGGTGGAGAAACACGATCGGGCTATGGAAGGAAACGGGCGGCAGTCCATCCATGCATTGGGTTTGGGCTTCGTAGGTTCACATTCGTCACAATATTATCCCATCTCCAATCACCCTTCCATACGAATCAACCATACCAGACCCGACCCGGCCCGTCCAGCCCATTGAAAATTAGTACACTGTCGTACAAATATTTTTTTTTTGGGCCAGTTATATACAAAACTCGTCGATGTTAATGTATTAACTATTTTTTTAAGAAATATTTTCTGTGGTTTGAGATATTTAAAAAAATAATCACTTGACTATAATAATTTAAATTTGAACGGTAAGTTTGGATTACGATAATGTATCATATATAATCACTCATATATAAAACATGATAATAATAAAAAAAATTAAAAAAAAACAGACGGAACTATATGGTCGCCAGAAGGGCTTCACGTTCTCATTAACAAAGACATAAATAAACTCTTGCCCGGTCTTGTGTCGGTTGCCGTTGCCATTGCCAAAACCGAAGGCGGTTAATGATGAGCATTGTCAGCGTGAGGCAAATACAATTAAACTAATTAATTAGGCCATTAAGCCACCATTATGATAAGCGGTTGGTTTATTGTTGACTGATTACACTAATTACTAACTAATTAATATAATATAATCTAATCGTTGGGCTCAGAGGAAAAAAAGAAGGGTCGTCTCTCTAGAACTGCGGACGAAGTCGTATTCTTCAACTCTTACTTGCCACTGCACACCTCTCTTGAACATCCAAAAGAAATTTTCTCCTTTAAATCCCATTTGTTTTCTCTTTTGATTTTTCTCAGTAACCAAACACCAGGGAGATCGTGGGGACCAGAAAGGAGAAGACTTTTTTTTTTTCTTTTGGTAAAAAAGGAGAAAAACTTTTTTTTGTGTGTGCCTGTGGTCATACCCAGAAGATTCTGCTCTTGTGGTTGTTCATCGTTCTCCGTCATAATTATGTAGGTTATTAGCTGTTATGTATCAGATCTGATAATGTATTGCCACTTGATCACCGGAGTTTTTAATGTCAACGTTTTGACAGAACACAAAGCCGACCCCTTTTTTTTCAATCTTTTTTTAGCATTGATGGAGCTTTGCGTATAATTTTAATCTCTCTGGGGTTATTGTGTCGACTTCGAGTTCATCAATGGCGGGCCAGACACCGTCAACGCGACAAACGCGGACTCGTCCCTTTATTTTTAATCTCGTCCACATCTCCCTCTCTCTCTCTCCCATTCTATATTTAACCTCTGGTCACCAATCTTGTCTCCGATTATATCACAGATCGAAGAAGAAGAAGAAGAAGAAGAAGAAGAATTGAAGAGGAAGAGAAATGGTGAACGCGGGAGAGAAGACAGTTTCGAGACAGTCGTCGTCGTTCAGGCTGAGAAGCCCGAGCCTGAACAAGCTTCGTCTCCAACGAATCTTCGACATGTTTGATAAGAACGGAGACGGATTCATCACCATCAACGAGCTCACCCAAGCTCTGTCGCGTCTCGGCCTCGACGCCGATTTCTCCGATCTCCAAACCACCGTCGAATCCTTCATCCAGCCCGGAAACTCCGGCCTTCAATTCGACGACTTCGAGGCCCTCCACAAGACCCTCGACGACTCCTTCTTCGGCGGATGCGGGGACGAGGATTCGGCGGGCGCC